CAGAAACAATGACGTCAGTTTACCGTAATCCTGAGTTATCCACCGCAACAAATGTAAGTTTATTTTTATTTAAGTTTGTAATTTATTTTTAAAATATGATGAAAATTAGTCATGTGAACAGAGAATTTCAATCCCCAAAAAACATTCAAGGACTTTCAAGGACAAGTGTAATTTTTGGCTGTTTTCACAAACTTTCCAGGACCTTGAAATCTTTTTTTTTTTCAAATTCATAAACTTTCAAGGATTTCAAGGACCCGTGGGCACCCTGGCACGTGTTTTGCCAAACCGTAGCATGTAGGTCCCTTTTATTCCTTTTTATGTCACGGTCACAAAGGCCATTTAAACTGAAATTTTAACAACTTCAGTTTACAGCAGGAAAAAAATATCAAAAGGCTGTTTTGTACAACTCTAAAGTATTAATAAAAAAAACCCAACATTACAAGCAGAACAAGCAGGATTTCTGTTCTGCTATGAAAGCAAACACTTTCAACCAAGGACACCCTGTTTGTCWGCGCTGCCTTTTCAAAGCTGCCCTTTTCCAACAGGGTGTGGTGTCTTTGCATCAATAAACATTTGATCTAAAAGTTTTCAGCTGGAATTGATCCTTATCAAGGGGAGATTCAGCTCTCCCAGCTGTACACGCTGCTCTCTGTAAGAGCAACAGTACATCAGGAGGGGAAAAAAAGTCTCAGCATGCCTTAGTGAGCTGCAGAACGCTGCGTGAAGCAAAGTAGCAGGCTGTGTGAATAATCAGTCATAACTCTGTTGATCCTCCTGATCTGCTGCTGAATCAGCTCAGAGACCCCATAATAAGCTGTAATAGTAATTACAGCACTGCTCACTGTTCTCACATTTACCTCTTGTCCCATAAYCATGACGGAGCACGTTGCACTGCAGCTGCAAAACACACATCAGCTGAATACAGGGTTTATATTAAAATAAGGACATAAAGCCTACGACAAACACTTTCTTGAAGTGTTTCAACTTACATATTTTGTCTGTTAGTCGAGGAGTGGGAGTTTGTATACAAGTGAATATTTAGAGTTTTTGTGCATGTGCGTACACTTCCTCTGCTATAATCAGGCTGTCTTGGGGTCTGAAAACTGTTAATTAGCATCTGCCACAGTGGCCATGCTTCCTGTTATTACTGGAACTGCTGTGAGGAGGGTGGGCCTGACACMGGTGTAAAAGGCATCCGCCCCAGCCCAGCAGGACCACAAAGATTTTGACTTCCAACAACACAGTTCCAAGGGTTAAAGCAAGGACGGATATCGGTTATTTCTCACGTTCAAGCTTTTGGGGAAAAAAAATAAACAAAACAAAACAAAACATTAAAACATGTTGTTAAAAATGGCACCTGAGAATGAGCCAAATTATTTCAGGCACAAAGAAGACACTGTTCTAAGAGGTGATGTGCTGGAAAGTTCATCTCCCCATGCACAAAAATAATATAAAATAAAATAAAATAAATGCCACAGCTGCACCCTCCTGCATCCACCAGTGGTCATAAACAACAAGGTGTGTGCAGAAATTCCATCTTGTTGTGTTGTCTCATCAAAATAAAGTTTARGATGAAACTTGTTCAAAAGTTTCCATGTCTCAGTCCTACCGTCTCTTTTTTCATTAGTTATTTAAACCTCATCACCTTTTTTGATGTGAAATGYTTTGTATAATTAAAGCAGCAAAGCACCAAGGCTAAATGATTTGTCACCTTAAACCTGAAGGGTCGTCCATTTTCTATGTCTTAATTAATATGCATCGTTCCTCCTCCAAACCGAGCGAAGGGATTAATCACAGCAAATTAATCCTTTTATCAGCACGATGTCTGACGAGAAACCCATCAGCAAAATAAAACCCAGTGGATTTAGTTTTGTAGAAACTTCACAGACTTAAGTTAAATGCAACAAGAAGCACAATGTTCTGTACAGAAAGACTACATTCCTCAACTATCATGCGTTATACTTAGCCAAGAAGAACGAGGCATATGACCTCATAGGCTCAGAAATGTGACATTAGCAGTGTGGGTCATTGATGACTCACTGTTTCAAACAGGAACAAAACAATTTAAAAAAACTAAATTTTGGATTAAAATAACTCAGTCCTAAASTGCCCTTTTCTTGACACATCAGATTTGGTAATAAATACAGAGAGCGGTAACCTGCATGTTCAGGTCTTGTCTCGTCATGCCCATCTGCCACACAATCTCAATTATGTCATCCATGGCCGAGATCAATACAGATGAGGCAACATGCAAAAAATAAATATTCCACCACAACAGCACTCCGCTAAATTGTGTACAACTGAAGTGAAAACAGGAGATAAGGGATGAATAATCCCTCGATAAACAGCTTCTGCCATCTTTTTTTTGCTGCCTCATTTCCTTTAAATCAAAGGAAGAGTGAGAGAAAACTGTCTTTAGAAGAGGAAATGCTTCAGCAGTTTCCAGTCGTCAAACCGGTTCTGACCAGAGAACTGGAGGAAAGCTGAACAGCAAAAGACCTTCCAGACCAAAGGCCAGCTCATTAATGGGAACTGTTTGATTTTTAGAGATGTTGCATTAAAAAAGGGGTGGGTATCACTATGACACAAACCAGATGACTGAAGTACAGAGTGTGCTGTAGAGTTTAGTTTCAAACAGATCTATCCACYGTTTAAACTCTTTGTAACAGGATCACATGCTTATCCACCTCCTGGTGTGTTTGATGTAAACAAATCAGTGTTGGTGCTTGTCATCAAGTCGAACMCACGACATCCTGCGTGACCAACCAGCAGCCAAACACTCCCAACATTCATTAAARGGTACGAACACGAAAGCTTTTGAAAACTGACTATTCGTGTTTAAGATGGCAGCTGACAGTGGAGCACACTCATTACACCCAAATATTTTATCAAATTGAGTTTAGGATGAAAATGTAGGGAAAAAAACTTGTCCTTACTAAAAAAGGACATTTTCTGTCTCTTGTGAGTGAGCAAAACAAAAGATGAATAATATATTTATTTAATTGGAGTTAACTGAACATGTTTATTAGATATGTAAAACACAAAACATGTTTTTCAAGAGGTAAGACAAACATGTAAATACAGGGTTTTTCCTAGTACTTAATCTAATTATGCTTGCTGTAGGGTGAATTTCCCAGGAAACCGCTAATCTTCAGACATGTTCTGACTGGCTTTGGGTCGGCAGTCAAAAGTGAGTTTGTGAGTGTGTGTGAGCACGTGTAAGTGCAGGTGAAAACACGGGGAAAACAATCGTCACTAACAGATTCAATATGTAGCAAAAAATTTTAAAGGCTACAGCTAACAGTAACAAACTTATCCTTACTAAATCTAATTTTGACCAGATATGTACAGATTYCAGAGTAGTTGATAAAACTGATTATTTTAGTGGCTTGAATGCACAATAGCCAAGTTATCAAGTTTCTACTGAAACTTGATAACGTTTTAATTTAGTGTTCACCTCTAGTCTTATATCTGCTTTTCTATCAACTTTTCTATACAATCATACTTTTCATTTACTTTTATTGGTATTTTACGTTGTGATAACAAAACATTGTCTACGTGCAATGTTGCTCGATGTCAGAATGACTGAAACACACATTAGGTAAATATAAACACTGTTCAGATCAAGTGTATTTCAACAAAATGGAAGGCATAAAAATATCTAGACTACAATAAATCACAAAACACTGACACTGAGAATGTGCAACATTTTCTGTTAAAAAGGTCAATTGTACAGTAGGGGGGAAGGGCATWCAAATCATTTAATCTGAAACTGACGGCTCAGTGTGAACATACGGGTCAGCAGTAATCTCAGAAAGAAAAATGTAATTTAATCAATCCATTAGTATCTGTACATTACAGCATTGATAATGGAAACGGGCAGCAAAACTTTTTATTATGGAAATCAAGGGAGGAGGAAATCCATTTACTGATTTCAATGCAGGCAAAACAAAAGAGGTGTAAGTGGGTCACGTAATGAGAGGAAATATTGCTTCCATTTCTAGTTAGTGGTAAAAACACTGAGGAGACTGAGCTTATTGAATGAAGCCATTTTTATGATGAAAAACTACGAGAGCAAAAAGGTAATTGAACAGCGTGAAATGTATTTGGTTTGATGCATTAAATATGACTAGAGACAGAATTTAATGAGAGCAATAAATGATTCATTATTACTGACCTTTAGGTCCCCTTCACATTGGAGGATGACCCCTGCTAGGGTGACTAGATGTGTGTGTATGTACTGTATGTCTGTCATATAT